TATAGAGGCCTTTGTTGCATAGGCCGAGGGGTGGTGTACTCATGTAGCACTTAGGTAGGTGTGCTTATTTGGACGCACGTGTACACGCGGGCGTGTGTGCACGTGTATACGTGACTGAGTAAGCTGGGTTCAACTGTCGGGTCCGCTGGCACGCCGAAGAACAGGGGGCGTTGATGCAGCTGTTATCGGTTAGCCAGAAGCAGCTCTGAGGTCAAACCTCGGGGAATGGGGGCGCCAGTGAAAGAGAACATTGTAACAGTTGTTTGTGACGACACGAATTTGGGGGCAGCGAGCCTTGGAGAACGAAGGAGGGAACAGGCATTGTGGCTGTCCGCCACAACTGTATCTTACAAATACTGTAACTTCCTGTGTATGAATTACCCGTTTCTGATACTGTTTTCCGTTAATGTTTGTAATGAAGAATTCGCGGGGAAATTCTAAAAGTCAGTTGAATAAAAGTCTTATCCCAGCAATCTTCTCAATTACTTCCTTGGACTCGCATGTTCATTCGTCTGAGTCCATCGTCAGCGATAAAAGCGGCAACAAAAAACGAGCAAGAGTTATAGGGGAGCAGAGGCCAACAAAACAGTCAGGAGGTGACTGCGCGGCGCCAGATCGATAAATCGATCGACTGCGTTCTCATCGGAAGTCCAGGCTTAAATCAATCCCCGGCCTGTCTTGCTTCTGACATGGGTGATTATCTTCGTGCCTGCACAGTTAAACTCCTGACCCGTTTTGTAGGCGTGGTCAGGTCACACGAATGAAGCTATGATGCTGGCGAGCGGTGAGCCTTATTCTCCTGACAGTTCGACCATCGGTTTTGATGGCCACCACCGCCTGCTCCACAGCAGGGGACGGTAACTTGCGCGTGAATTAGTTTCAATTGAGAGTAGACTTGCACAGCATCTATCACACTCCCTCTTCCTTCACTCATCTGTGTCCGGTGTCAAGAAACAGTTAAGAAGATCGGAGGTTGCGGGATTGGGCGCAGGTGGCTGGTGCGGCCGAAGTGCGTGTGTGTGTCGTAGCTCATTGTTGGATCAGGAGTCCCCGCCGGAATCCAAACTGGGAGT